GAGAGAGAGAGAGAGAGAGAGATTGGTGACTTTGGGACTTGACGACATTTGGATTCAGACTCGACATTGGGATTGAGACATTGGACGAGGGATTATTTGGTACCTGTACCGAAGACTTGGTGTTGACGACATTCCCATCTCCCCCTCTTCTTCGTCTAATCCCCCTCCTGTTCGTCTGTGTATGTTTGGGACCGGCACATCTCTACCTGTGTGAGCACCAGGTCCCTTCACACCATGCGATGATGATGATGTATGTTTGGTCTGCATAACGACATTGATTGGGCTGATCATTGGTATTTTAGCCTTCCGCTGCGCTATCCTGTACTATGTGAGAGAGGTCGGTTCTTGTTCTGGGCTGTACCGTTACGGTATGCGACAGTTTGGTATCGGAGCGGACCTCTCAATCAGAGGATCCGCCCAATCAAGAAGCCAGCTTGCTTGATCGACGGATTGTTGAATGATTGATTGATTGATTGATTGGTTAATTGATTGATTGGTTAATTGATCGATTGATTGATTGATTGATTGATTGATCGATTGATTGATTGATTGATTATTAGCGAATCAAGTAGGACTTCGTCAAATCTCTGCAATTTTTTTCTCTCTTTTTTGCAACTTCAGATATTAGCATTTCGTTTTTGTTTTACTCTGGGCATATTAGGTGAACTAGGGAGGTTGTCATATTCTCGGACTGGATATATTCTTCTCTGAAAGTGGAACCTCCAGTCTATTTCACGCAAAAAACAAAATTCAAGATCGCATTTTTTTGAAAGCCAAAACTTTGCGGAACCTTGCCTAGATCTCGGTCATAGTACTCCTCTGAAATGCCTCATTCATAGCAGATCGACAGATATACACACACACAAAAAAAAAAAAAAGGGGGGGTGCGATCCTCTTCTTTTATTTTATTTTTTTATTTTATTCTGTTGATTTGGACCGGGAGGAAAGTACAGTTGGGTTGGTTACCTTCTGTGTTTCCCTCCCACCCAGCCCTTTGTCTGCATCCCCGGTTTGGTAAGTGCCACGTCAGCAGTGCCACGTCATCAGCAGCGCCTCGTCAGCAGTGCCACGTCAGCAGTGCCTCATCAGCATGACAGCAGCAGTGCCACGTCAGTAACAGTGCCATGTCAGCAGTGCCACATCAGCAGCAGTGCCCCGCCACCATGACGGTTTCAGCTTTGGGCATGCCAGGCCAATTGGCCAATGAGTCTATTGATGAGTACCGACAGCGGTTTCTAGATCAGCTCGCACTGATCGAGGCTGAGGTACAGCGCCAGGCGGCAGCAGCTGCAAAGCAGCGGCTTCAGGCCGCAGCTGACGCAGACGCCCAGGCTCGCCGCTAGGAGGCCCAGGATCTGCTGCAGTGGCACGAAGCTGCCAACATCGACAAGCTCAAGCTCTGGCATTTTGAGCCATCCGACGGCCAGGACGACGCAACACCGGAAGAGCAGCATAAGGAGTTCCTCTCCAAAGTCGTGACCCGGTTGGTTCACACTTGTAACCACCTGCAGTCCGAGTTATAGAAACAGCACCAGGAACTGGCGAATCTCCGATGGACAGTGCAGAACCACAAGGATCTGCACGAGGATGCTACACGGGCACTTCATTCCCATGTACAGGACTTGGAGCAAGCCGCATCAAGACCAGATGCTGGCGAGTTCAGCAGTGCACCCTCAACCCGCCAATTGGAGGAACGAGTTGACCATGTAGTCGCAATGCTCGGCGACATCAGCACCTTCGCCGCACCAGCCACCATCAGAGAGCAGCTCGGCACCTTGCAGACCGAACTCAGGCAGCTGCACCAGCCGCCCAACAACGATCGCAGCACCAGTGCATCAAAGCACCACAAGACGTCGACGTTCCGGATCGAGAAGTTTGACGACTATACGCATCAGGACCCAGTCGTCTGGGGGCAAGGCTTTACAACGGAGCTTGGGATTCATGAAGTCCCTGAACATTTGTACATCGCGGCGCTGTTCCTCAACGTCCAGGGCGGATGCCAAATCTGGCTCAGCCACATGGCAACCATCCACAGTGTCCAGGTCAACAACTTACACAAGATCTCCTGGGAAGATCTAACAAGAGAATGGAAGAAGCGGTTCATTGTTGACGACGCCCTGGCGCTCGCCATCAACCTCCTCTTCACCATGACCCAAGGCAACACATCGATGCGCGATTGGCTCACGGAATGGAAAAAGATTGTGGCAACACCCGATCTCGATTGTCATTCCCGCATCTGCGTCGAGAGTTCTACAACTGGTCGTGTGCCGCCTTGAGCCTCGCACTCGGTGATCGTGAACAGTACACAACCTTCGCCGAAATCATCGACAAGGGTCGTGAGATCATCAAGAGCAACCAGGCTGCTGCACACGAGAAGACAGCATGGCAGCCAGCCCATGTGGAGAAAGGAAAGTTTGGTCCGCGCCCTAGCATGTCGCTGCAGTCCAACCGGACAACATTGTGGAAGACCCGGCAGCCACCCCAGCATCACGTGAGGGAGATCAGGGGGCTGTCGTCCAGCCGTGAAGCAACAACAACTCCCGTGGAAAAGGGAAGGCGAAAACCGCATTGCCAGCCGGAAATGGAGAGCCAGTACCATGGGTCAAGTTCAACTTGACCGAGGCCGAATACAAGTACCGTAGTCGATACGGTTGCTGCTATTGGTGCAACAGCACCAAGCACAAGACCTCCCAATGCCAAGATCAAGGCAAGGAGGATGTCCGACCTCAAATCAGCTTGGGAAACTGAGCTGCGCAGGAGGTGAGGCGACCCCACCTCTCACTCCGCCAGATTCGACCGCCTTGCTAGCGGTCTCCTACACATCTGGGAAGGAGGCGCATGTTGCAAGTCCTCGGTAATCTTATGAGGATTACGATGTCCACTTGGTCCCACCGTTGGACCAGTCAGTCCACGTGCAACAATCCACCGCATGCACGGTTTCATCACCATCGACAACCGATTCAGCAGCTTCGCCGCCAAATTTCGTCGAGGATTCGACATCAGGGTCAAGACTTTAAGAACTCGACCCGTTGACGTTCGCGGACTTCCAATGGATGCCCCTTCCCCCGACTGGTCGATTGTCGAAACCGCATTGCAACGTGCTCATGGCACAATTGCGGGATTACTTGCACACTGCAGTACCAGCTTCGTTGATGGATGTCGGAGTAGATGTTGTCGACCTTCACGCCTACGTTGCGAAGATCGATCGCGAATTCAAGACACGACGGTACGACGACATCGACGCGCCATTGTTGTACATACGCATTCAGATCGGAGAGGCGACCTGCATCGCTTTGATCGATTGCGGAGCTACTCGTAACCATATGAGCCAAGACTTTCTGGTACGTGCTGGCCTGGGGCCACGCGTTCGGAGGAAGTCGCAGCCCACACAAGTCACGTTGGCAGACAGTCACACGCACAAGTCAATCGACCGGTGTATTGACTCCGTCCCCGTGTATTGCCCCGCATGCAACCGAGGCCGTGTCCTTCGACATTCTGGACACCAACAGATTTGCAAGCATCTACACCGCTGATCTACACCGACTACGAGCAACGAAGACCAGCTAAGGGAGCTTCACAACCTGCCCCTCCCTCGGACAGGCAGCTTCGCCCTCGCAGGTAAGCTGGGCTTTTCAAGGAGGGGGGGGGGGGGTGGCATACTGCGCAGCCGCACGGGCCTGCAGGGCCCGACCGGATGGAAAATAAGGGTCCTACAGGCCCTTTGTCGTTTCAGCCTGAAAGCCTGAAAACAAGGGCCTACAGGCCCTGTGTCGTTTCAGCCTGAAAGCCTGAAAACAAGGGCCTACGGACCCTGTGTCGTTTCAGCCTAAGAAAAAGGGCCCTCCAGGCCCTTCAGCCTGAAATGGAGGGCCATTTTCAGGCCCTTATAAGATCGACCTGCCCTGAAACTTAGGCACCAGACCAGGGTTTTAGTACAGGCTATTTTGGGCCTGTTTTCAAGACAACCTTTGTTTGAACTTCAACGCCAGGGTCTGGCAGGTTTTGGCGTTGGCAAGAGCAGCCTCCTGGACGGGCCAGCACTATATAAGACTGGCCCGCCCTGCAGGCTGCAGGTAGTTGATAGGGACTTCCCAGGCACTTCACGTGCAGGAGGCAGAAGGCAGCCTTCAGGATTCGGCAGCAGCACTCTGGAGGAGCGCTGCAGTAGTAGTAGTAGCGTTAGCAGTAGTCTTCAGCGCTGGGCGCTATTAGGAGCTAGAGTAGCGTTGGAGAGAGAGAGATGGTTGGCGGAGGCCAGGGAGACTTACCTGTGGCACCATAGCTCCAGCTTCGTCTTCGATGTACCTGCAACAAGGCGCCACCTTCACAGGTTAGTTGTGACGAGGCAGAGGCAGAGGCAGAGGCAGAGGCAGAGTAGCGAGGCTGAGGGAGAGAGAGGAGAGGGTGAGAGCACACACACACACTCACTCAACTCGACGCAGACTCGACAAGACTCGACGGACGCATACACGAAGTGGCAAAGTCGGAAAGTCGCAGTCTTCGATTCCCGAACACAATGTCGAAGCAAGTCACACTGAAGCACAAGCACTGAGGCTGAAAACTGAATGCCCGTACTGGGCTTGAATCCGGTCTTAAGTACCGGACTCAAGTTCAGTCYGGAGGGCAGAAGTGCCRTTGCCTCAGGACTGAACTGAGAATCGAAAGTCTGAGTCTGGGCGCCAGAATGTCAGATGGCGCCAAGTGTCGAAATCCTAAAGTGCCAAAGGAGGGATTTGAAAACGGGCGCCAACTGCAGAGGGCGCCAACTGCAGAGGGCGCCAACAGTCAGAAACCGAAGAGCAGGAAAAAAAAAAAAAAAAAAAAAAAAAAAAAAAGAAGCAGGCTGGCAGGTGGTACCCCGCGGGCCAGGGATCGAGCCCTGGCTGAGTGCGTAACATTAGTACCGGACTGAGAGAGAGAGAGAGAGAGTTCTTCTTCCTCTTCTAAGTCCACCATCCCTCCCTCACCCTCTCGCTACCTGACTTCTCAGTATCTGCAGACTACGAGAGAGAGAGAGAGAGAGAGATTGGTGACTTTAGGGCTTGACGACATTTGGATTCAGACTCGACATTGGGATTGAGACATTGGACGCAGGATTATCTGGGACCTGTACCAAAGACTTGGTGTTGACGACATTCCCATCTCCCCCTCTTCTTCGTCTAATCCCCCTCCTCTTCGTCTGTGTATGTTTGGGACCGGCGCATCTCTTCCTGTGTGAGCGCCAGGTCCCTTCACACCATGCGATGATGATGATGTATGTTTGGTCTGCATTACGACATTGATTGGGCTGATCATTGGTATTTTAGCCTTCCGCTGCGCTATCTTGTACTATGTGAGAGAGGTCGGTTCTTCTTCTGGTCTGCACCTTTACGGTATGCGACAGAGAGGTAGAGAGAGAAGGTGTATGGAAGTTTTGACAAGACAACCACATTCAACAGTCATGCCAGACTGATTGAAACAGGCAAGCTGAGTTTTCCAGTCCTCCTGTACTTCTGTATGAGGCTGAGGACAAGAGGAGGGTGACCCGTCGATATCCCTACCTCCTGCCTTCACTCTAGCTTACGAGGTCTGTATAAAGGACCAAAAACTTCATTAGTTGAAACAAGTCTACACTCTCTTTACAGTCACGCCTAGCATCTGGGGACTATAGGATAGCGTCGAAAATTTTCCTAGATCCTGGCTGGTGCTCAGGGTCTCCCTTGGGGTCATGCTAGAGACCGCATTTCGGACTATGAGAATGCAACAGTTTTCTTTCTGGTTTGATGAAAGCTGCTTCCCTGATAAACTCTGAGCCGCAGCGCCCAAGTTCACCCTTCACCTGTAAAGATGTATTTTAGGGTTTGAAGTGTTGTCATGTTAGGACAATCCCCCCACGGTACTTCATTGTGCGGGTGGAGTTCTTCTGCCCTCTATACTTCTCCACTCTTCTATCAGCTCTCTGCCTTCCTATGCACTTGCCGTAGTCCTTGGGGAGCAAGCCTTCCCCCTCCCCTTTGTGTATCCTCCTTGCCTTCACATCCTTTTGTTTAATGCTGAATGATTTCAATCTCATCACGTCTTGCTGGCATTGCTTCCTAATAGCTGTTGTGTGTCTGCCATTGCTACCCCTCACCAAATCAGTGTTTCAGTTTTCTGTTTTCTTTGTAGGGTTTAGTCCTTGTCACCGTTGTGCTCACTAGAAAGCTTGAAGAGTCGCATAGGAATTGAACTTCTCGTGTGAGAGCAACCCTTGATCAACGAGACGCTAGCACCAATTTTGCATGCAGAATGTTGTTGTTCCTTGCAATTTCTGTTCGGAAATCAATTAAACGAATCTTCTTGATGTGACGAGCATAGAAAAAAGCTTGTCAGTGGACGGATGAACTGACCACAACCCTTGACAAGTTATTGTTGGTGTCGTGGATGCTTCCGGCTGCGTCAGGCTCGTGATTTCGACGCATCATGTGAACAGACGTTGCCAAGTGAGAAGGTACTGTGTAGCAGTTTTGACAGCCCTTGCTCGACCAGAGAGGGAGAATTCAAGGATCTTGGAGCTGGATATACACTTAATGGTGGCACCGATGGTGATCGTGTGAAGCCACGGAAGCTAGCAGCAGGTCAGCCACTTGCCAAGGGGAATCAACTCAGTGTGATGCCGCAGGGTACTCAAATAGCAAAGATCAGTGAAGAGAACTGTCAAAAACTGTATGTTGCTTGAGAACTTAAAAGTTGAAAACACTATACCGAATGGCGAACGTTATAATCATATAAACTGATATAATGGTATTCTGGTATTCCATTAATTTATCTAAGCCTTCTAAGCTTTGGCTGGCAGCAAAAGAAAGTGGCATAATGATGACATTGGGATAAAAAATTATTTAAAAAATAGTCAAATTTTGTTTGTTGCTTAAGAGCTTGAAAGACTATACGAAACACTATGATAGCCTTCTGGCATTCAATGAATTTATCTGAATAATTCAATAATGATATTGTATATTCGAAGTGAATGTGTTCAACGAATTTACCTGAATAATGACGTTGTATTGGAAGTGAATGCTCGTTGTGCTATGATTCTGCTCAGGTCATCTTGCAAGACTTCACTTTGAGAAAATTCCAAACATCACAACTCGAGCAGTGGGTTTGGACGAGGAGAGAAGAAGAATGAAAGAAGAAGAAGAAGAAGAAGAAGAAGAAGAAGAAGAAGAAGAAGAAGAAGACTGAAGAGATGGCATCTCCCCCCTCCTCTCGATGTCATCATCAACCCTCAATTGCTGCTGCCTTTTAAGTACAGTAATGAATGAATGAAATGAACAAGAATCAATGTCCGCATGACCCTGCTAACTGCCAGGATGGAAAAGAGCTCTCCTTGGAGCAGCTGTCATCCTCTCCTCAATACGGTTGCATAACTAGCTATGGTGCTCCATCCATGCCTAGCACGGATGTCGGGAGGACAATTCAATACTATCATGCTCTCTACCATCTCATTCCGCCATAGCCGCACTCCTGATGAAGTCCATGTCCAACCAGTACTTCTACTCTTTCTGTATATTCTCTCCAACTAACTGCCGTTTGACAATGGTCTCTTTGAGTGTGGGTGGTCAGCTCGATGGACCTACCATCTGGAGAGAAAAATGGCCCAAACATTTTGATGACGAGCTGGTGGAAAAGGGAGGAGTATATTTGTGCACGAAAGAGATGACGGGGATGGAAATGAGGCGCAGATGTAGAGTACAAGCTTGAGCACAAATCAGCAGCTGGAAGTGAGGCACCAGAGAGACAACGCTTTTTTGGAAGGGTGGTTCGGGAAGCATGAATCAGTGAACCCCTCTTCCAGCTGGTCTAGTCCAAGAAGGGACACAGCTGGAGGGAGGAAATGTGAGAGAGGAGAAATGATCAGCCCTAAGAAGCAGAAAGGAGAAGTGGGTTCTGCTCAACGCTGGCAACCATTGTAAGCGCATAGGAAGAATGGATAAGCAGGAATGAGAAGTGCACAGGGCGAGAGACCTCTGCCACAACAAGTGGGTATTTCTATTGATGGTTGGTGAACTGCCATGCCACTCCACTCACAAGGAGGATCCATTCTTTTTTTTTTCTTTTTTTTTTGGTATTGTCTCAAGCTCTTCCAAACATCACAACTCGAGAGTGAGAAGGGCTTGTGGCCCACAGACCAGGGATCGAGCCCTGGATGGTTCGTAAGACAGGATCCATTCTTGAAACCACCAGTACACCTGAGCCTGGCGGACTTGCACTGTGCGCCAAGCTCTTCCAAATTGCCAGCGGTGCACTTTTTTTCATTTTTGGCTGGGGCCGCCAGCCATTGTGGTCGGGTAGCCCTGAGCCTCCAAAATTTTAGGAGTGAGCCATTCGTTTTTTCAAGTTGACTGGGGCCATGTACTGGCAGTTAATAGAAAGCCTTCGACAGTTTTTCGAGTTGGCGAAAGGGGGGCGGGGGGCGGTGATGACAGGTCAGACTGCAGGGGGAGGTTTGATAGAGGAATGATAAAAAGAATTACTGTTTTGTAGGCTTCTGTCCATGGACTCATGGAGGCTAATAGAACCGAAATGTGACAGATATTACAGCTTCAACAGTCTTTGCTGATGCGAATCTGGGAAACTATCTCCAGGCTCCTCACCCTGTAGATATAGACAACTGCAAACTGTCACCAATGCATGAGGCTTTACATATCACAGTGAGCGCATTGACAACATGGCATGCGATATCGTGATCGCAATCATCCTTCTGCCTCCTGATCAGATGATCATCTCAGCCATCATCGATGATATACAGAAAAACTATCTCCAGGCTCCTCACCTTTAGAGTTCTATTTCCGGAAAATTGAGAAGGAACATCAAAGAATTGTCCGTGCAGCAACTCAAGCATTGTTCCTTTAGGATTTTCCATTATGATTCCCCATTTCTTTGTTCGGAGGATCGGGAGTCATAGCTTATGGTCATCCGTCCTCTTAGGGAAATGCAGTTGAATGCGCACATGCTCTTGGCTTGTTGCCAAATTATAGGTGTTATGAATTTCTATGATCTATCACATATTCTTAGAGCTGTGCTGCTGAAGTTTTCCTGAACTCTTTTTCTTACTCTTGTCCACTCACTTTCATGTCCCTCTTTCCCGCAATCAGCCTCCGCTGTGCAGATGAGGTGAAGAGGCACTGCATCTCAGGCTGTTGTGGGTTTTTTTGTAGCTGTAAACTTGTGAACCTCTTTGGTATTCAATCCTCTTACATTTGCTGGGCTTTTAAGCCATGTCTGGGCAGTGTGAGTACTGCACAGATGAAAACAACGTGTGCTCGCTGTGCTGTCAAATTGTTTGCGGTGGAAGCCTATGCTCGCCATACTTTCCGCGGAATACACAAAGTGTATGATCAACGAGCAGATGCTTGCACAAAAACTCTGCTAATCCTACTCGCCAGCACAGTTTGTGATTGAATGATTTGAATCCACCACCAAAGGTTAACAGGGACCCCCACTATTCAGCCCCAAGGTAACACCCCCAACCCTGAAAAGTGCATTGGCGGGGCAGGCACTTAAGGAGACATGTGCACAGTGTGAATTATGTACAGATGAGTCTTAGATGACGAAACAAAGTGCAAACAACCAATCAAGGACGTTGTCAGGTCCTTGCCGCACCTTCCAGGCTTCCACACAGTTAATCGAGGCTATGGCGGCAATGACAAGTAGATGGTTACTTACTACGGAATCTATTGTTATGACTCCAGTTGCAAGGTTGCTGCGATGTGCTGTTGAGAAGGCAACATCTCGAGTGAGATCTTTGCAGACAGTTGCGATGAACATGCGGCGACTTGATGGGACATGTGGCAGCAATCCCTTGGAGATTGCCAGCAAAGAAGAATCATGCCAACATGGTGAAAGAGAGAAGAGCTGTGAACACAAAGGAATCGAAGGGAGTGGGATGAATGAGATGGTTGAGAAAGAGTCTGAGAATCAGATAGTGTCCTTAGGAGGAGGAGGGGGAGGTGGAGGTGGAGGCGGAGCAAATGACTACCTCACGCCCGAGCAATGTCGGAAGGGGAGCATTTATGCAGAAAGCCAGTGGAAGAGTGGGGATGGTGAGATGAGTAAGACGGTGATTAGATTGCAGAGAGAGGTGATAGGGGAGGATGTGAAGGAAAGGGCAAGGACAGTGGGCCAACTGTTTGAGTGGCCAGTCTCCCCTTTGGAATTGGATGAGAGCAGTCCAGAGAAAAACGGTGGTCACAGTACACGTCGGGAATCCACATCATCAGTGACGAGGTCGACATCCACCCCCGAGTCAGGGACGACATTTGAAGCTACAACGCTTGCATCTGTTGGATCGAAATTTGTTTCAAGCACAAAGATTATATTGGATTCAGAAAATGGACGAGGAGAGTCACTAGAAATGCAAATGGTTGACGCCATGTCAGGAGAGACGATGACAGCAGGTGCAACACGGACACGGGCATGGCAGGAAATGAGGTTGATGCATACAGAGTATGGGGAGAGTCCAGCAGCAGGATCGTCGGTGATGTCGATTGCCTTTGAGCAGGCTTCCGAGAGGAGAGAAAGCATCATTGCATATGATCCTGAAACAGCAAATGGTCAAGCAAAAACAGGATGCAAATGCAGATGTGGAGAGACGGGTTCAAATGAAGGGGCATCTACAGTAATGGATGGATGGCTGCTGGCTGAGCTGGAGAGAATAGCTCCTATGGTAGGTTGTTGCTTCAGCACTAGTTCTCTCTTGGTTCACTCAGCATCTGAAGCTTCATTCCTTTCCAGTCATGATTGCTTCTGTTATGTTGCTCTATCTATCGAGTTAACCTGCATGGGTCTGACAGGGTAGTTGTTTTATGTCCTTTACTTGGCGATTGGTGGACCTCGGCCAGCAGCTGACCCCGATTTCTGCATCCAAATAAATACACCTTCATGATGGCTTCATCCGTTTAAATTGGAACGATACAGAAAAGATTAGCATGGCCCCTACGCAAGGATGACACGCATAAATCTAGAAATGGTATTTAGAAAAAATAAATTAAAAAAAATCCTAATGGACTCCCCTTGTTATCCTGTGTTTGCAGTCATATGAATATGTACCTTGTTTGTGATCCAGCCCTCAGGTCCCCCTGTAATCCCCCGGGGCAGGCAGAGGGTCAGAGAGGAGGAGGGAGGGAGGGAGGGAAGGAAGGAAGGGGGGAGAGGAGGGGGACCGGAGGGGGAAGGAGGGGGG